CATGTTTTCCGTCTGAAACTCATTGTAAGTATCAATTTTGAGTGAATTATCTTCAGTAGTTACTAAAATATCGCAGTTTTCGTATTTCTTAAAATTACCGTTATATGGGAGGTAGGCGTGGTTATTGTCCGATTTCGCCCATTTTCAATACCATCCGTCCTACGCCCAAAAGAAGTTCACGTACCAAGTTTCGTTAAGATATCTCAGTTTTTACTCGAGTTATCGTGTGCACAGACGGACGGACAGACAGTCACCGCTTAATCGATTTCTCTTTTCATTCTGATCATTTATGTATACATTTGTCTATATCTATCTCGATTCGTTTTGCCTGTTACAAACAACCGTTATGTGAACAAAGTTATAATACCCTTGTGCACAAGTGCGCTCGGGTATAAAAATATAATATTTAAGAGGAGAAAATTTTTAAGTAAAAGGTTTTTTATAAATTCTTTCGATAGGCGTTAAAGCCTATTCTTTTACAAAAACATCAGGCTATCACGAAGAAAATTGATTGATGAATAAAGTTGTAAATGGTCTAATGCAAATTCGTAATAATTGCCATACAAATAAACGTAGTACATATCAAGCCCTAACCGCCAAAATAACGTAAGCGACATTTTTTTTCAAAATTTTCTTTTTGATGCAGAAATGTACCTAAATGCTCTAGGAATACTTCTGCATCAAAAAGAAAATTTTGAAAAAAAATCGAAAAAGACGTAACAAACATCATCGTTGAAATGCAAAAAGTCATACACAACTAATAAAAAATTCAAATTCACTTTTTGATTTGTATGATGGATTTCATCGAATTACAACGCCCCACATCATTTTATTAAAAGCAAATTAAAATACTAGTCACGACTTTTTCTATTTCATTTACGGTGTTGTTACGTCTTTTTACATTTCAGGTGACGATATGATTTCTTAATAGTTCATACATACTAACTACATGGCGTATTAGTAACATTCTTTCCTAGTCATATTTCATAAAAAAAAATTATTACACAGTTTCGTTTGACCGTCTACAACTTTATTCATAAACTAATTTTCTTCGATGATAGCTTGATGTTTTTATAAAAAAATAGGCTTTAAAACCAGTGAAAAGAAGTTACAAAAATATATTTTATTTTAAAATTTTTTCCCTGTTAAAATTTGCATCGTTTTATTCACAATGCAAGTTTAAAATGCAAATATCTTGCGAAAATTACCTGACATAGAAAAACGGTATACAGGGCCGTAATCTACGACCCAAAATTAAGTTTGCGTGTTCCGCAGGTTTTTTTTGTTACTTCAAAATTTGAAATTTTCCTTCCAGTGTTTTCAGTGGAACAAAAAAAAAACAGAACGGATCATAAATTTAACCAAATCTGTATCAGGATCATATCGCTGTTGTCATATTTGCGTGCAAAATTTGTATGCGGATCCCGGATATTGCCCAAGAAACACAAAAACACAGCTACAGTTGCGACAGAGTTGCATTGGTTTCAGTTTTTCAAGTTTATTAAGTGAAATTGCTGGAGAAACTTATCAGAAATGTGTAAACGAGTTTCCATACAATTTTTGACGGTTAATTTATAAAGCTTACAAAATTATAAGTTTATACGGCTTACAATGCATTTATAAGGTTTGCTGAATATCCTTATTAAATTTATCGTAAATTAACGCGTGCCGCGTTAATTAATAGCCTCCCCGCGGCAAGCAAAACAATACCGACGACACTTATCAAATATTTTTGCATACACTACTATTTATTTATAATTACTTTAGTTATATTTTTGTATGTAGTTTTATTTAAAGCTTATCCGATAATTTATTTTTATTTAATAAAACAATTTCATTTTCAAAATCTACGTATGGCTTTTATTTTGCATTTTTTATTTTTGTTCTTTTCTTGGTTCTTCGTTCACTTTTTTAAAGTACGATCTAAAACTGGTTGCTTCCGATAGTTTGAATGAAAATTCAACAACAATTGTGATTAATGTGCGCGATGTTAATGATCTGCCGCCAGTTTTTCCGCAAACTCTCTACGAGCGTACTTTGGACGAGGAGCTGAACACGCCATTTACCATTATGCAGGTCACTAGAATTTGAAAAGTGGTATATGGAATCAATTAAACAAAACTTAATTTAATTAAACCATAATTTACATAGCTATTAGCGTTCGTAAATTAATACTCGTACATCACATTTTTTCTAAAACTTTTCATATTTACAATCAGCTCTCTTTGTATATAATTTCTCTCCAGCCAATATTTCAGTGCAATTCTCTAGCTATAGTAATAAAATAAACTAATCATTTGATTTCGGGATACGGTTAGTGGTTTTAACAAATAATTTGGCTACGTTAACATTACAAATAACATTTAATTTAAAATTATAACAATAGAAAATTCACGTTTAATCAACAAACAAGTTTCAATTGGTTTTAAATAGGATTTCCAAGAAATATTCTTTATTTCATTCTGGTTATCTTGGTCAGGAATATCTAATTTTCTTAGTTGACAATAACAAATTGCTCACACTTTCAAATTTATACGTACTACATATTGACAAATTGTAAAAATTTAACATGATGCAATTTAGTATGTATAAGTATATGTAAACACATACACTTATATAAGAGTAATATACATACATATACATAGATGTCAACGATGTGCTGACCTTTACTCAAATCAAATTCTGATTATTGACTACTGGTTGCGGATATATATATATACATTCTCATTATGGTCAGGTACACTTTGTTAAATAACACAAATTAACACAATGCTGCTCTTTTATTTAATTATAATTTAGTAACTTTTAATAAAGTGCTTGCAGGCCTTTTGTAATTATGTTGAAGCTATACATACGTGTAAGTATGTACATACGGGCTCTTATAACACTACACAGATAACACAGGCTAACAAAAATGGGAAACAATTTTTGGCGACAAATGTTAAAGCCCTTTTTGATAGACTTTTTTATGCTGATTACGAATCCGGAAAAAGAAAGTTGTTTTTGCAATATTTGAGAAGCTCTAGCAAATAAACAAAAGGGGATATACACCCCTATGCTGTAATCCGTCGTAGACTCGATTTTGCTACGAATCGTAAAATTGGTATGCTGAAATCCGCGTTGTCGTATCGTAATTTCGAAATTCGGAGGCCATCTTCGAAATTCGTAATGTTGGTATGCTTGAATCCGGCGTAGCTATCATTTCTGTGTATTTGTCGGAAGTTTTGTACGTCGGAGCAAAATAAATTGTTTTAAAATATCAATAAAATAAAGTATGAAAACGCAAAAATATGAGTAGTCCAGTTGCAAACAGAGTTACGTGATTTTATAGTAGTAAGCCATAAATAAAAAAAAACGTGTACAACAACAAGTAACATCCAAATTGTATATTTCTTTTTATTATCTGAAAATTCGGATAAATAAGAGCCTAAAAACATTAAAAAAAAATCTCAGTGTGGTAGTTTTTGCAAATTTTATATATAAAAATTTAATATAGTCAGTTTTGAAACAGTAACTTTTACATAGCTAGCTTTTTTTAGCTTTTCGCGTTCTCTCTTCCATGAAGGTTGGTCTGCTTGTTTTTTAAGACGTCTTCCACTAGGCACCGAAACACCACGTTTTCTTGCAGTTTTCTAAGTTCATCAGAAGATGGAGACTTTTGAAAGTGTATAAATACGTACATAAGTATTATAGGGACTTTTGCAAGAGTAGTTAACATTTGATGCTATTTTTTTCAGAACAAAGAAAGATTTTGCACTGAATTGTTAGTGGAAATTAAACTACTTTAAATACTGGTATGTTACCAACCAGAAACTAAAAACCGTAAAAAATATAAAAAAATTGCATTATTTTTAAATATTTCCAACATATCAACAAATCGGTCGCAATGCGAAAGACGGTGGAAACCCCACATCAAAATCTTTCCCCAACACCATGTTGGTAGCTTCCTTCAGCGAAAAACCTCAAAACTGCCATCAATCTACCTGTGATGATTTTACACTTCGCCCAAGCTCTTCGTCCATAGTTATTAAAACGCTTTTAAATGCATCTTTGTTGATGCGGAAATTCTTCACAAGCTAAATGGATCAGTAGAATCTGCTTTGTATATTAATGCAACTGTTAGCTGCAGGATGTTCTTCCTCCTGAGACAAAAGTTCTCCGGCCACTGATTCAATTGTATTCTACTTAATCAAGGAAAATTATTTTCAAATAACGACTAAACAATTTTTTTTTTAATTTCACTATTCACTTGCGATTATATTTATTTTGATTTGTTTCTATCAAAGCAGCTGATGAAGAACTTCGAATTTTGCGGTTTTAGCTGGCAGTGCCATTGATAGTTACAATAGGATTACATCATACCTATTTTCGATTTTTCGGAATCGAACTACGAAGATTCGGATTACAGCATGCATGCCTTCTTATCTTCCAGAACCACAAGGGCAAGGGTCAGGGATGGTATTTTAACAGATAGTAATCAAGAGTTTTAACTTTAATTTAAGCCTAAGTGGAAGGTTCTATCACCTTTTGTTTCTTTGCTAGAGCTTCCTACATATTGCAAAAACACGAATTTTTGACAATTTCACCCCATATTTCTCAAAATATAAAGCTGATGGAAACTTTATACTTACGGGTTCGTAATCAGCATAAAATAGTCGACAAAAAACAGCTTTAGCATTTGCATCACCAAAATCACCCTGTTTAATATTCATAAGTACTTGATTTTGTACAGTACCAGTTCAATTTAATAATAATGCTGAACCGAACTTACTTACATGGCCAGATTATTATAAACACATAAACATTTATGTAGATATACATCTACATTTTCTACTTTCTTTCTTACAACTCACACGTAGGCTATCTTCTAAACACATTAATGCAAAGCATCGGTCTCTTTTATTTCTGAACCCTACGAGATAAAAGTTTCAAATTTCGCAACTCTATTAAAAATTGGTATTACTTGATGGTTGCGCATAATGGATATTGATATGAGTTATGATTTGGAAATAAAAGGGACTGATGCTTTGCATTTTTAAGAAGACAGTCGTGGTCCTTAGCAGTAGTGTCCAACACTAAGCTGGGGAGGTGGAGCTTAGACAAGTTCAAAAGTCTCTTTCGAGAGCAATAAATTTCCAGCCCACATTCGAGTAGCAGGTTCGCTTCGATATAAGTTTAAAAACATCTCCTTTTTTGTTTTTGGCACTACGCCGAAACTGGTTTGTCTTCAAACCAAATTTGACAAGGGATGCGGAAATTCGTTCTAAAATACATCATTTTAAAAAATAATTTTTTCTCTTAAACCTAAGAAAATGAAATGAGTATCATAATAGTTACTATGTGTATAACTTTAAAATACTTAAAAAATAACAATTTTGATTTAGAACTCACTTTTCCAGCTGAGTCCGAATTTCTAAAACGAGCCACTTCAATTATGTGATATTTTATTTCCAATCAACAATGGTATTTTTTCATTTTTCCAGTGATCGGATTTAAACCAAATTCGTATGACAACACCTATGAGGTAACAGCTTTCCTTTAAAAAAAAAGAATTATAGAAATCGATTAACGTGGTCCAAAGTTATGCGGTAACATACAAAAAAAATAAAAATATTCCGATGAATTGATAACCTTCTCCTTTTTGTGAAGTCGGTTAAAATTATAGTTATTCAATAGATAAAGCTATTGAACAAATATCTATAATATTAAGAAAACAAAGGAACTGTGAAGTGGATTCTTCCACTTCATTATTTGCGGGGTCATACCTGTACTCCTGCGTTCCACGTTTTATTTATTTTATCTTTAAATACAACAAATGATGATAATTAAGAACAATGAAAATGACGGTTGAATTGTCGTCTGTAATTGAATTTTCAAGTAAAAAGTACAAAAAAAAACACATCGATATATAAGAAATTTTTTTTTTTTTTGTAAAATCAAAACCAGACATTTGTTTCCATTGTCAATAGCTATGAAAAAATACCATTGCTGATTGGAAATAAAATATCACATAATTGAAGTGGCCCGTTTCAGAAATTCTGGCTCAACTATCTTAAAAAAATTTTGCGAGTTACATTCAAATTTTTTTGGTGCACGGAAGGACGCGACGCGGCAATTCAGTCGTATATATAAGACACCAACTTTCAAATACAAATATCAACTGAACGATGTAATGCAGCAAGTAACAGCTAACTGTGAACCGTGCTGCATCTCAAAACAAATCCACTAAATGGCAGTGACTACTACAATTAGTATTTGAAAACCACAAATTAAAATTTTTGCGGCTAATTTGCCGCGGCGCACCCTCCGAAGGGTTAAATTAAACTCAGCCCTTAGTAGGTATTTCCCCTTTTCATCACCAAGGAATTGCTAACTGACTGATAAAACGGTGCTAAAAAAACGTTACCCGATTCAAAACCTGGTGTAGGTTGTATTCATGTTCGAGTACAGAATGAAAACAGATTCAGTATAATCGGTGAACCTCTATTTTTTCTATAAAATAACCGTTATTTTCGTACCTATTAACAACTTGACTACCTCTTATACGATTTTACAAATAAAACTAGTTTTTTTAAGGAGGATTTATAAGCCCATAAAACGGAGTATGACAATCACTTGGCAGACTTAGATTGTTGGGAGTTTTCGTCGAATAAAATTTAAAAATACCCTATATTTCTTCATATTTTTCAACTTTCACCATCGCTAATTTCGCAAATTTCTATGAAAGTTGACAAATATGCAGTATTTGCTTAAAAGTACATTTATTTTTGAACAAATATATACACCACTGAATGAAATTGGATAAAAACCGTCGAAGGTAGACCGTTTTTTTCAAATGGTACTTCGTCCTATTATTTCCATGTGTGTACATTAGGGTGGTCCAAAATTGCGAATGGAAAAAGTAAAGTCTGAATTTTAATTTGTTCTAGGATTATTTTATATCGAAAAAATACACATATGTTTTTTTCGAAATAAAAAATATTTAGAGGTCGCTCAAAGCGCTCAAAGTTTTCCTTGTACATATTTTATATATGAAGAACCATTTTTCGTGGAAATGGTATAGAATTCTTGATAAT